CGCGTATTTGCGTAGTAGAGCATTTAGCATCGAATGATGAAGTGCCGCCCCCTGCCAACCCTTTGCAAGTGCAACTTGAAAAGTTTCCAATAAAGAAGAAGCCAGGAAAACAAAAAGAGAGCAAAGGAAATGTATCGCTTCTGAGTTTGTCCCACCACAGCAGCACTCCCCTGCTCCAAGGTACGCCTGCCCCTGCCCCGTGCGACGTGGTGGAGGCGTCACCGTCGTGCGTAGCACATTTTCCACATCAATGCGCGTTTATTTTACGGCTAAAGCCTTTCCGAATGAATGAATGAGCACTTCGGAAAAAAAAAGGCAGCAGCTCCCTGCGCCCTGTTCCCCTGCCACCAAAATTGCCACCAAACCAAAGAGGCTTACGCCATTGGGCGGCGTCTCGCTGTGAGTGTGTTTTGAGGTTTTGTCCTTTAAAGATGGCGAGAAGAGAAAGAACAGATAAGAACAGATGCACATTTCCTTTAAAAATACAAAATGCATGAAGACCAGAAGATGTTCGTAATATTATCCGGATTCAGTCTCTTTTTCAGTGTTCACTCGTGAACAATTCGAACAATTGAACAATTGGAAGCTCTACTAGCTGCCAATGACTGTAGGCAGCCCCGAGAGTTGGTATCCATAATGCAGCTCCAGCTAATTGGTTTGATCTGTACCTAACCATGTAAATTTATAAATCAATTGACATTAGTTTGTGGCATTGAGACGTCGACATCCGTTTGTATTTTGTGAGCAGTGTGCCAGGAGGAGCGCTGAGCCAATAATTAAGATAATTAGCCAACAAATCGAATTAAATAAGCGAATGAACAGGAGCTGCGGTTGCGGCTGCGGCAGTGTGGCAATATCAAACAGCCATAAACCCGACCTACTTGTGCGTTTTTCCACTTGACTGCACCGCAAGAACAGCAAACCCAACATCCGAGTAAGAGAAAGCAAACGGGAAGGGGGGAACAATAAATTTATGGCTTTTAAAAATGTTTAACTCAAACTTGACTCCCACTGCCGCACAACACTAAAATGTGGGCCATGTTTGCTGTGGCTGCTGTTGTGTCACAGATTTATGGGCCACAAGAGAAAAGGGAAAACTTCCACTTCGCCAAGGAATGCGCATAAAGTTTACGATGCTGCAGGTAGTCAAATTGAATAAATGTTAAGACAATTGCTGGCAAGAGTTAACTTTCGGTCATGGCAGCACCAGCAAATGCTTATCCCTAGACCGAGTGTTGTGGGTTCAAGCAATCAAAGCGAGGAGGAACGGTCCACCCTCCGGGTGCAAATTTCATTAAAATAAACTTGTTTCTACCAGCCAAAAAAAACGCGAGTATTTGCTTAGGACAAAAAAAAAAACACAACAGCCCAAAAGGAAGAAGCGAAATCACGGCTAGGGCACTTTGGCACTGGGTGTGGGTGCACTTTCCACACCACCCCCCACCACACACACACACACACACACTCTCTTTTTCGTGCTTCGAATTGGCTTGGTTTTTATGGTCGTCGGTGCTTTTTATGGCCAGCATTTGCCTCATTTCACTCCTGAGAGCAGGGATCCCGATCCCTCAGCCTTTCACCCTGCACCAATCTCTCTGCCTCTCTCCAATTTGAATACCTGGCTGAGAATGAGAATCTGTTTGGTAATTTCTGGCGCTGCTTTTTGCTGCTCCCGATAACGTTTGCATTGCTCTTTATTGCTTTTAAATGTTTTTTTAGCCGCCCGCGAAAGCCTTTTGCCATAAAAACTAGACGATGGGGAACGGGCGAGTTTATATGGAACATTTTGATATAGGAATTGTTTTTACAGCCGCAGGAAACGGTCCAACTTTCGGCAGAGGCACACCCGCCCCCGAGCCCCCTTCAACTCGCAGCAATTATCCAATCGATGGTCGGGGCAGGATCCGCTGCATCAGGCCCTACTTATGATGAGCCGGACAGGCCGTGGAGTGCCGTGGAGTGCAGTTCGGTGCAGTGCCAAGAGCTAAGTGCCGCTTCCGCTGGTCGTTGCTCGTTGGGCCCCACAAAAAGCTGCAGGTCCGAGTCCGAGGCCATAAATTTTGCAGGCAAAAAGGCCGAAAGACTTGGCCTCTACGCCAGAGGCGCAACTTATTTAAAATACACTGAGAGAAGTTTGAACGAGATTTGCAAAGCAGGTCGCTGCTCGAATCGAGTTTGTTGCTCATTTCCCTCAGTGTAGCCCACCTACAGACGCCGCGCCGGGGCTCCGGTTATTGTTGAAATTAATAAGGACGCCGCCAACGGCAAAAAGCAAAAAGCAAAAAGCAAGCGGCGTCTGCCGTGCGTTGCCACTCGACCCCACACAACAGAGTGGGCGGCAGAGAGTAAGGCAGCGGCAGCGGCAGCGGCAGCGTTAAATGTCCTTTGCATTGCAGTTACAAGAATTTCGCATTTATCGCAGTCGCTTCGGCAACAACAAGAAGCAGCAAGAGATGAACATGCAACGCAGAGGCGGAATGTAGCTGCAGCAGTGGCAGAGGCACGCGGCAAGAGCATCTGAAGAGAATGCGACAACAATGGACACTGGGCCAGAAATCTCGTCGCCAGCGTCGCTAACAACTCGTGGCATTGCAGCTGCCAGATGTGGCAGGAATAGAGCTGTGCGGGAGGGCAGCGGGTGGCGTCGCTCGGCAGCCGAGGCGCAACATTTATTGTTTGCAAAGCCTTGTTTATTATTTTACGTGCATTTCTCTCTGTTGCCATCTTCAGCGGCGGCAGGGCCAGCGGTGGCAGTCGAGGCAAGGACTCTTTATGATTCACTCCGTGGCTCCTTTTTGGTCGAGGACATTTTGTAAATAGCAATGCCGTGCCCCGGCTTGGCTTGGCTTGGCTCGGCTCGAACTCCTCCGCTGCTCCTTCTGGCTGCGATTTTATTCACTCTCCACGGTTTATGTGTGCTGCCGCAGCCGCTGCCCCTGCCACATCCTTCTGACCCGGAACCTCCACCCCGCTTGCACCTCGTCAGTCACTCGAGGGGAGGCTGCTGCGTCTCGGACTTGGGTCCTGGGTTGCTGCTTACTGGGATGCGGTTTTCTTTATGCTTTTTAATGCCGTGCGCCAAAAGTCCTTTTGTTTGTACACTTGTACTTTATGTACCGAGCGAAATTTATGCGCCTCTAAGTGGATTCGTGGATTTCCACCGCTCCACCGCTCCACCTCTCCCTCTGTTGCCACTGTTTCCTGTTCCTGCATTTGTGCCTGCCAAACAGGAAATGCAATCCTTAGCATCCATAAAACTTGTCCAAAATTCTTGGGCCCTGGCCCAAGGCAAATGGGTAGAAAAGGTCTACTCTCGCCCTCCACAGTCCCGTCCTTAAGAAGTCGCTGTCCTTCCTCCTTCTGCTTCCCTTTCCCGCCATCGAATCACAATTATTCGGCGCGTGTCCCGGGCCCTTGGCTGACTCCTCATTCGCGCATTTAATCGAAGAAGTTTGCACGATGTTAAAGATGCCCAAACCCTAGACTGTCCCGACTGTCTTCCACGAAATGGACATAAAAATGGAGTCCTCGAGGCCAGTCCTGTTCCAATCCTCAATTAACACGAAAACAAAACGAAACAAATCGCAAAGCGCAGGGTGGGCGCGGGGCGCGGGGCGGGCAAACAGGACGAAAAGGTAATTTCTGTTGCTAATTGGAAATCGAGGGGAGTAAAGGCCGTAGAGGAGGTGCAGTCAGGAGGAAAGAAAGGAATGACAGCCAGAGGAAAACCGGAAGCAGAGACACTGACCCGCCCGCCTCGTACTCCTCCTCAGCATCGGCAGGAAAAGGCCCAAGCTTGGTCAGTGCTCAGGAAAGCGTCACAAATGTTTGTCCGTTTTGAAGGAAATTAATGCGAAATGTAACAATCGAATTAGGGCTTAAAGGAACAGCCACCCAAGCAGCCGATAGCCGAACCGAGAGTCGAAGCGCTTCGAAACCGATTCGCCACGAATCGTTACACGATTCGAATTGGGGGGGGGGGGGGGGGGGGAGGGAGCACAACTTCCCCCCAATGACCTTCAAAGACCAGACCATACTCCAAATTGATTTTAGGTATTCATTGGCAAAATGTGGGCTGGATTTCAGGGCAGGCAACCGGCAATTCTCATAAATTAAACATGGCTCGCTCTCCCCTCCACACACCACATAAACTAACGTTAAAAATGCCAGACCTGATGCTGGAGCAGTGCCGCATAAAAACGCCAGCATTTAACTGTATATTTGAAATATTTTAAAAATAAATTTCAATATTTAACTGCGTTCGCCGACAGGAAACGGTTTCCAGTCCCAGTCCCAGTCCCAGCCCCTTCCGATGGCAGCAGCGGAAAGGAAAATGCTGGCAGCCGGACGGGCACGACAGGCAGGACGGGGCAGAGGACGAGCAGGGGAGCGGAAATGATCCATCGGCGCTCGTGTGGCTGTCCCAAAACTGGGACCCAGTCATTGGGTTGGACACACAAAAATGGTAACCAAAAAGCTACCCAATCCGCTGGTGAAAATACCCTTTGAAAATCCATTCTGAAAATGTGTCTAAAAAGTAATTATAGTCCCAGGCCAGTTGGGGGATCATCTGAATGCTGGCAAACCGCTTGACAACATTAGAATTACCCTCTGTAAGGGCACCGCCCCCCCCCCCCCCCAAAAAAAAAAGGTCTCTCATTCGTTGTTGTGGCTGTTGTTGCTGCTGCTGACTTTTGGCCACAAAAACGTTGAAAATATTTGTGTTTCCACTTATTTGCATTAATGCCACGAACCGATTTACTGTCTGTCCATCTGTCTGTCTATCTGTGGGGCACATAGAACCCCAAAATACGGGCTGAAACAATTCTGTTGAATTGGGGGGGGGGGGGGGGGGGGGGGCAACCTCCTAAAGGGTTCAAGCCAATAAATACAAGAAAAATACAACTCATACACGAGTATTTTGTGACTTTTGATTTGGGTGGGTATTTGCCTTTCATTTATGCTTTGGTTTATAAACCAAACATTTCGACATCAAATTAGCTGAGGGGAAAATATCATACGAAAAACCAAAACAAAAACCGAAATAAATCGTAGAAAATGTATTTGGAATGGTGAAAATTGATAAAGTAAAGTTGAGTTTTTGAGTACAGCGCGAAAAGATGTGGCAGAGAAAGTTGAAGAAACCCAATTGGCCGGAAATACTCGACTGCAGACACGCCTTAAGGAAGTGCATTTGCAAGCGCCCCCGTCCGGCCAGATCTCTGGGCTGCACTGTGACCTGCTCCAAACATAGTCTGCAGTCGAGCAAAAGCAACAAATCGGCACCTGCCACGAAACAGAGGCTCAATATGTGCTGGCAACTGGCCAGTGATCCCGCCACACAAGCGGAGACCGAAGCCAAGGCAAAGCGGCAGGAGAAGCGGAAACCCAAGCCGACGGCGAAGGATAACCAAAAGTCCAGGCGGGAGGGCAAGCCGAGGCCCAAGCTGAAGCAGGCTGAAGTGAAGAACAAGCCGCAGGATGCGCTAGATGAGCTCTTGGAGTCCAATTCCGTTGGGGATGCAGAGCAAACTAAGAAGTCTCCGGACAGGAAGAAGGTTGCTAAAGCACACTTTTCCACCTACCGCAAGCAGTCGCCACGCAGGCCCATGGATTTCTCGAATATATTATTCCTGGATGCCAGAACGATGCCGTGGGACCAGCCAAAGTCACCCAGTCATGCTGGAGATTCCAGCTCGATGAGCAAGCAGGTGGCCAGATCGAAGAGATTATACGGGATACCGCTGTGCGATCGACCCAGCCGGATCATGGGCATGGGCATGGGCTATCCCCCCTCCCAGCAGATACAGCTGCGGCAGGAGCAGCTCTACCAGCAGTCCGAGTACCAGGATCAGTACACGCTAATGCTCCAGTCGCAGCTCGAGCCCATTGACGGCATGCCCTTGTCAGTGCAGTTTGCACCGGGAACAGAGCCGTACATGGTGCCCCCGAAGCAGCAGTGCCAGCGCGTGCAGAAGGGGCAGCGCTACTGTGGCAACTTTTACTACAATTAGGCACAAGACGCCTTCAACTACAACTCAATAAATATTTGGCAATTGATTAATGCTTGGCAGGCAGATTGCTGCCTTCAACTGCTTGCCTTCTTTCAACTGCTTGCTTGTGTCAGTTGGCTGGCGGATCTTCTACTGCTTGCTTGCGGTGCTTACTGCTTGTCCAACACCAACTGCTCTCCCACTGCTTTCATTTATTCACCTGCCTTCATCTGTGCCTGTGCCTGTGCCTGTGCCTTTGCCCTTCAATGACCTGCAAGAACTTTTTGGTATTTAATATACTCTTGAAGTTTGTTTATAGGAATGGTGGGTGGGGCCAACCTGTGCACGCAGATACAATTAAAATGGGGGGGAATACAAATACAAACACAGACTAAACGACGAAACAGCAAAGCAGCGAAACGGCGAAACGGCGAAACGGCGCAATGGAAACGAGCAAATAATGAAGTGGATAAACTTTGCTGAAACATTGAGTTTTCGAACCGAAATCCAAATACAAAATTGAACAGAGTTGGTGGGGGCAAGGGCAAATGCTATTTTCCCCTGTAATATTCAAGGTATCATGGCATCGGGAGGCGTGCGTACACACACACACACACACACACACACACAGACAGTCGGAAAACCTTTTAGAAGGGCAAACAGAAAGGGAAAAGCGTGGCAGCGTTACAGGCATGGGAAAACTTTTGTAATTACAATAAAATTTTCACAAATAACTTGCAATTGTTTGTGCCTGTGGAGCACTGTGGAGCGGTAGAGGAGCCCGCTCGAAGTTGTCTAAAAGTAGGGGGGTGGGGGGCAGCAGCGGCAGGCAGCTCCTTGGTATCCCCAATTCGAATGTGTTAATATTGTTGTGTATAGCATACCCCCCCCCCGCTACATCTATGATGCAAAAGTGTCAGAAAAAAACAGCAAAAGAAAATGAAAAGAAAACACCGCAGAAATGGCTCCTCCTTGAGTTTTCACCATACCGCCCCCCGACCCTCGAAATAAATTAAAATAAAATTTAAAATAAGAGACACAACACACAAAGACAGAGAAACGTGGACCGGAATCGAATGGAGAATACCTTCTCCTCCTCTGGTCAGTAGCACTGCCACCGGAGATTGCGTGCCTGGCCTGGCCACTCCTGTCCACTCCTAGCACATTGTTTTGCAAATTAATCTTCAAAAATGTTGGCACTAGCATCGTGCGGATGGATTTTCTGGGTTCTCCCGAATTCTCTTGTTTTCTATCTTATTTATGAGCTCACATTTCGACCACTTCTTTTGGGTATGCAAATATTTGTGGCACTCGCACTCGCACTCGTGTGTCTGGGAATATTTATTTTTAATTTTTATAAGAGTGTTGCACAATAATCAGAAGTGATGGATGCACTTGTGTGTGCTGGCAGTGTGGCCGTGAAGTTGGGCAACATAAGAAGCGGAGAAGCGAAAAGGCATCCTCAAGGAAATGCGGAAACACCAACTCCCCCCTACGGCAGCCCAACCGAAATTCACACAATAAACAGCAGGGGAGGCCGAGGGCGAGGGTGAGGCAAAGGCAAATGAATCCAAAGATTACGAATGTCTGCCACATCTTCAAAATACGAGAAAGTACGACTAAGGAATACCCTCTAACTGCCACCCCATAATTCATGCTCTTTTCTTAGCTGCTTAACTCAGGAATATGCGTGAATGTCATTATATCCTTTGGCCACCACGAGTACAAACGGGGACATATGTACTTAATAACTAAATAGATGAGCAGGAATAAAAAAAACCCAGAGCTGTGCGAGAGATAGAAAGGGAAGGTAGAGCGGGGCAGCAACGATTCACGATTGATGTGACGGCTCCTGCGAGTGTGAATGGTCGCCCCAGAGGACGGGTGGCAAGAGGCGCAGCATTGGTGCCTTGATGGATGGATGGATGGATGGATGGTCGGAGGCTTAGCCCTAGGAGCAATGTAGCTTAAGCTTGAAGCTTTCACAATCGAACGGCACGGGGAGTGCGGGTACACAGCTCCTCTTGTTGTATTTTATTGATTTGTTTTTCCTTCAGCAGCTTCACTTCAACCCAAGCCACAGAGCCAGTCGCAGAGAGAGAGAGAGAGAGAGAGGGAGAACACGAGCAAAAGAGCGGCAGGATAGGCGAAAAAAGGACTGGCTCTAGGTGCCGACTAATAAAGTTCATCAAGGAGGAGAAGTTTCCACCAAGGAAAGAGAATTAGAATTAGAAAACAAATTTATCTTACGGTTTTCTCCGTATCTTTCTCTCTTTCTCTTGCTCTTTCTCTTTCTCTTCCTCTCTCTACTCCTCAACTAACAATTACAAGGGCAACTTTTATCTATTTCTATTTTCAGTTTGGAGACCTTCAACGGTTTAAAGGTTTCCCAGTTTGAAGACCTTCAAGTGCAGTATAAATTTTGTATCGGAAATTGTTAGACAGATTCCCATTGGAAAATAAGGATTCTCCTGATGCTCTGCTCTGCTCCTGTCCTTCATGAAATTCGCATAATATTGTGCGAAAATAGATTTAATTGCGCGCTTTTCGCTCTAAAGTATAATGAGGTGTCCTCCCTCCACTGAGGTGGAGCAGCAAACACTTAATGATGTAATTTCTGCGAAAAAGAATTCCTTGAAATTCACAATTTTCGCTCCCAATTGGCATTTAGCGGGAAAATTGCAAGTAAAGCGATCCCAGGGGGATTCACAGTACGGCGGTGTAACAAGTGTTTGTGGCAACCCCCCGAGGGTCACACATGGAGTCTGCTAGAGGTAATATTCCGCACAAATTATACGGCGGAATGAAGCACTCGAGCAACAAGAAAAGGTAGATATATTTTTCTGTTTGTTTTAAGCTGCGTTTTAAGTATGACGAAAGACATTTGCCCCAAACATAGCCCGCAATTACGGAATACATTTACTCTCAACAGAACCGAAATTAAATTTTAAATAAAACAAACAAGAATGCTTCGAACCTAGGGAGTTGGCTTCAAACTTATACATGCCGTGGTAGGCGTATAACAGTTTCAGAGTAACAGAGTCGAAGCAGCAAATAGAAGACTGCTGCAGGCACTTCTACTACTTGTACGTATAAGTGAGCGGCAAATGCGTATGCGTATACGGTATAAGTATACGCTCAGTATACGTGCTGCAAATACGTACTTATACGAGACAACAACCAGCAATCCACGGATGGCTGTATACAGTATAAGTATGCGCTCAGTATACGCATACCGGCTGCCATTTAGCTTGTACTTCTACCACGCCGAGGTATGCGCTCGCACTTATACTCAAACTTAGTATGCGCTCATTATGTATACTCTGCTGTTTATTTCTTTGTATTATTTCCACCCCACGTTGTATCAGCTCCAGAGGTCCCAGAGAGAGAGAGAGAGCTGGCTGGTGCGAGTATAAGTAGGTCTTGGAGCCATCGAAAACCGGCTTTTGAACCGCTGGACGAGCTGCTCCAGCTCCAGCACCTGCAGCAGTGGAGTGGCAAGTACGCCTAGTAGTAGTAGTAGCAGCAGCAGTGGCAGCAGCAGTGGCAGCAATAACAATAACTCTCTCTTACTCTCTCTCTCTCTTCAGTTCTCTCTCTCTCTGTTGCCTCATGCTGCATACCACCGAACAGTGGGCAGCATCGTTCGTTGCCTTTGCCTTCGTCTTCTTTGTCGCTGTCGCTGTCGTCGTGTGTCGTTTTCGTTGCCATCGTTGGGCTGCTGCTGCGTTGCCGGAATTGAGAATTTAGTTCGGTTTTAGCTCTGATTCCGTGTGGACCTCATAAAAAGCTCGCCCTCGACCGTCTCGAGCGTTTCCGTATTGTATCGGGTGGCCGTTTCTTCGATTTGCGCGTCGCATGGAGCCTACACTTACACACACACACACGCAGATCCGAATACGCACACACGCACACACACGCAGTGAAGCAGCGACAGCGTCAACAACGCCAAATTATCGAGTCTGCGCCAAAAGTGATGGCAATTGCGAATCTTAAAGAGGTTCCCGCTTATCCCTAAATATCTGCACCCAAAAATAAAAAAAAGTGTTGCACCAACTGGCCGCTGTGCCCCGCCCCCGCCCCCCCCTCGTCACAGCACAGGAAGAGGCAGTTGCCATTTTTCGGTTACGGGTTCGGTGCCCCCCATCGAAGTCGTCGTCGTGGTTGTGGTCGTGGTCGTCGTCGTCGGTCATGTCACATGTCCTGGTGGCACCCGCTGCTGCCTTGTGCGTCTGACGCCGCCGCCGCACCGGCAGTTGGAATAATGCGGCGTTAGGGCCCCAGAGAGAGAGAGAGACTTTCGCGAGTGTCGAGTCGGCTGAGAATTGAAATTGGAAATTGTTGTGGCCAAAAGAAGGGGCACGTGAGTTGCCGGTGGCAAAAGTGTAGAAGAAACCAAAATAAATGTGTGCCATTAATTGCTGGGAGGCAAACAAGAGGCAGTCGCAGTGGCAGTGGCAGTGTTCTAGCTTTCAGTTCTGAGTGCGGTTTCATGCAGCATTAGTGTGGTGTGGCAAGAACTACGACAACAGCCACACATCCATAGAAACAACAACACACCCACTAACTAGTGTTTAAAAGAAATGGCCTGCAACATGGCTTCGGATCCGGCATTAACAAAGGAAGAGGCACAGCAGCAGCAGCAGCAACAACATACCAAATGGCAGCAACATGCAACAAAACGACGACGTTGCCATCAACATTGGATTAAACATCTGCAAATACTGGGCATGGGTAAGTCTTTGAGCGGGACAAAGCTGCAGGACATGGGCGGACAGCAGCTGTTGCAGCATGCATGTGGCATTTCTGCAAGGCATTTGCCTTGCGGTCTCAGCAGGAATACATTGAGGGCGTGG